GCAGGCTTACTTGCGGTTCCTAGAATATTTAAAAGCAGAATAGGAGTCTCCCATCTCTCCTGTGGAACCTGTTCCCAGTTTGGATTCAGGAGACAGACACTTTCTGCTTTTAGGATTAAACTTAACATTTCCTTTCTTTGTTTCTTTCCTTTTTACCAAAAGCAGGTTAGGGCTGGATCGGTTTACCCTTAGTTATGCTGCTATACGCTCAGATTGCTGGATGTTTCCCATGATGCACTGAGATCTTCTGTGTTTTTGCTTATGTGCCACTATCAAACTATTTGTAACAAGTGTCACCTGGCAGTTTGTTGCTCTCTGCCAGGTGATTGGCTGAAGAGCTCTGAAAAGGTAGTTGGTGTGTGGGGTGAGGTCAGCGCTCTTCTGTGGAAAAAAACAGAGGCGATTAACTCACTCGGGTGCGAGTGGGTATATTGTCGACAAGAGACTTTTGCCATTTTGTTTTGATCATTTGTTATTGTGGGTGCCCATTTTTAATGTGTGCCGTTGGACATTTTTAGTGTGACCACGAGTTTTAATAGAAGAATTGATCAAGTCCTAGATCAACTGCGCACACGGAAACTGATCAATAATGTTGGTATATTGAGTGTTTGTTTTAGTTTTGTGATTTTGAGTGGTTTTAGTCCGCCCAGCCGTGTTTATTTGTTTGTACCACTTCCCTTTATATCTCAGATTGCAGGTCATGCATAGCGCTGATTTCCAGCTGTGCTGAGACCTGAATTGTTTGCAGTGCGTGCCACAGGTAATCGATTGCAGTGCCGCTAAACGGGGTGTGACGGTTTGCAGTGTTGTGTTATTTTTCGCACCGTTTGTGTTGTAAGTCTCATGTGCAGCTGGGATATCAGCAGGATGTTGTAAGTCCTGTCTGGAAATAACTGGGAAAATGTATGTTTAATTAATGTAATAAATAAATTATCAATTTATTTCCTTGCCCCTTTTACTTGTACCTTTGTCCTTGGTTACATATTGTTAATAACTTTTGTCTTCTATTGTTGTAATTTGTGTTATGTCCTGTTTGCTTTTTGCAGTCTGCTTGTGTTCACCATCCATCCAGCTGCAGTAGATGGTTGCCCCTCCCTAAGCCTGGTTCTGATGGAGTTCTCTATTAAAGGGAATTCTTCCTTTCCACAGTCTAGGGAGCTTGGAAAGAAAAGTGTCTGCACTTCTTTAAGTTGCTTGAACACATTTCACCTCTCAGTTTTAGGGTCAAATGGTGGAGAGTCCCAGATTTAAGCCTTGTGGGAGTGTCCTCCCCAAGAGGGACAATGGACCCCGTAATGATCCTCCAACTAATCACACGAGCCAAGGAGTGAAAACGGGTTCAGGTCAAAATCAGCCAAAGTTTCAGGTGAGCTCATTGTGAAACCTAGCCCGACCCTATCATGTGATAGACGCCTTAACGCCCACTCACATCCTGGGCCATTTGACCTCAGGAAATGAGGTAAGGAAAGTCCAGACGCTTTTCTTTCCAAGCTCCTTAGACTACGATGACCTGGATGACTGAGAACCTTCACAGACATATTCCTTTCCACAGTTCCCAAGCGTTTGCTTATTAAGGATTGCTTGATTATTTTTTCTCTAATATTGCAGGGTGTTTGTCTCACAATATAAAGCATCTTCAAACAGAACTTGCACTATATAAGTAAAACTGAACCACTAAAGCAACTTTCACAAACCTTTCTTGACAAAGAAAATTTGCATCTCTGGCTACAACTGAACCAACAACCTTTTACTTGCTAATTGAATGTACAGTGTTATCCACTACACCACTGGAGGCAGAATTGAATGCAGCGCTACTGCATGGTGTTAATGCATAAAACACAACTGGTTATTCACAGAGGTGCAACTGGAGCAAGCAGCTGGTGGTTCTTACATGCAGGATAAGGGTCTCTACTATTTTGTAGCGATCAGGCATGTGGGTGACCATGTCTGTCATGTTGTCCTCTGATGTCCTCACCAGAGTGGGTCCAAACACCAGGGCTAGATTTCT